GAGCACATAGACAAATATAAGAACACATAGAGAGTAGTATACACCCATGGACCTGCACTGTGGACCTTACCTGGACCACTGAAGCGGTTTTCATGTCGGTCAGAACAATGCCAGTGCCGGTTCCTGCACCAGTGACACTGAGAAGCACAGTGCTCACCTGTGAACGACCCACGTTCACACACGATTTAAGTGAACCCATGGTGTGTTGTCAACAGACGATTTGCCACCAAATAAAAACACAAGGCCGTACGAAAGGGGGACGTCACAGCGAGAAAGTAACAATCACGGATCGCATCATCGACACCAGCGAGCATTTGGACTCATACAAATCATGTCATCATCATTTATCTATAACACAACGGACTCCAGGCACTCCAAAGAGGTAAAAAAAATGTAAAAATCGCGCAAAGAAAAAACTAAGCCCTGATGAAGACCAGTTAAGGTCGAAACATGTTGTCTTTGGCCATTTAAATAAAGGCCTTTTAACTGTATTTTTCCTCGTGCAATTTTTTACTTTTTTCTACTTCTTTGGAGCGCCTGGAGTGTGTTGTGTTTTAGTTTTGACCCTTTTTCCAAGAGCGCCCTCTACCTGCTCCCACTGATTGGAACACCTGCAGCAAAACAGACACATTTTTGTTCTTTCTGCATGATTTATCTACGCTGAGCTCTGCTACAACATTTTCTGTGGAGACGGCAGCGGCGACGCCCAATCCAAAGATCTAACCTCACCTGGTGAACACGGAGAGAGCAAATATTTGGTCTCCTCCACTGACCACTGCACAATCTTCCTGTCACTCCACCGTCTTCCACACACACACGTTTTCTTTGTTTGTTTATTTTACCGCGTGTGACCTGGATGAACTTGCTGACGTCGACTTTGTCATCACAGTTCGCTTAGAAAAAACAAGTTCAGTTTTTCAGCGTGAACACCTCAGTTGGTCCGAGATTAGGTGCGGGAACCAGCACGGTTCTGTCGGCCTGAAAACACCATGAGGGACACAGATATAGGCGAGTTTCAGCGACGTCATTGTTATTAAAAGCCCGCGTTGCATGCTGGGAAATATTTTTGGTCGGAGGCAAGAAACACGAGAAACACAGTGCGTAACCTCGTGTATTTATCCCCGATAATGGTAAATTCCTGCTGCATTATCGGATGCACAAATAGAAGCACGGAAGAAGGAAAATGTCTTTTTCGTATTCTGAGTGAAAAGAACCGCTAACGGTGAATTAAACGGCTTTCAAACATTCGCAGAGCAAAAATGTAGAAGATCCTAACAAACCGTGGACTCCAACAAGTTCAACAACACATCGAAGACTCTTGGAGGTTTTCATCTTTTCTGCTGTGAACGGGCCCAGGAGTTTCCACCAAGTCATTGTGGATATCGCCAAAAGTGAATATTTGTCCAGGTAGTTGGCGATTCAGACCAGAAATTTGGTTTGGTCCACCTTTTGTCGGGGTTGAAAAGGGTGATTTGGCTCCGTCGATGTTTATGACCAATTTCTGGTCAAATGGTCTTGGGTCCTCTGCCGTTAGAGTGGATAAATAACCGGGATCAATACCCTTTTGCGTGCTTTTCTCGCTCCGTCCGTTCATGTTGAATTAGTGTTTCTTGCTGTGACAAAGTGGGACCTTTGTCTGATTTTAAATTCACGTTAGTTTATGTTTAACATGATTTATTTTGAAAGGGGACTTGCTTTGGGGAGTTACCTGGGGGTAACTTCCTGTGGGCGAAGTATAAAGCAAAGCAAGGTGTCACTCATTAGGGGGACTTCTGTGCAGGTATTCAGTGTTTTGCTTTGAGTTACTTATATTTTTGTCTATTTGTATTTTTGTTGGTTAAACCCAGAAGTCTGTTTTTTTAAAATAAATTTTGTCTGCGTAAGACACCTTTTTTTGTGTCATCTGCCTCCTACTTCGACCACTTTGGCCAGCTTCCCCACACTTGCCCCCGACCAAAATAATTCCCGGCATGCAACGCGCGCTTTTGTCAACAATGAAACTCTCTTATAAGGACACATGGGAATAGAAAAGAAAGTTCTACCATTTAATGCTTAAAATCACAGAGTATTGTCTAAAGTAAAAGTGTTTTCTGTGAGTATCGAGTCAATTCCTCAGTGTCTAAATACAGAAATGTGACTCCCCTGCACACACATACTCACCGTTCTGTGTTTTTGTGTTTTCAGTCAGAAGTATAAGGCGGGTGAGTCAGACGCCGCGAAGCAGAGCACTCCTCAGCAGACCTCCGCCGATCCTACAGGGTCCGGACCAGGACTCAGACCGGCCGGGATCTTAGTCGTGTCTGTGCTCGTGTCCGCTGCAGTCCACCTCCTCACCTGTGAGTCCCACACACTCCCCCCCTGACACTCGCAAAATATAGATGCTCTTGACAGTTATAGGTGCATTTTTGTAATTTTTCTCCCCACAGATGTTATTGCTTTGTCTGGAATGTTCCGCTCTTTGGCATTAAACGTATTTATTTGAGAGTTTTATAGCTTAAAGATGGGTTTTGTTTTGTTTTTAGTTTTTCTTTGGAGCTTTTTTCTCTCATGGTATGATGTGATGTGCCTGAAGAGGGGTTAAGATGTCCTCTGTGCATGTTTGAGTCATTTAGTGATCTCTCCTGGGCCCTGTTGAAACCCTCCTTACGGTTAGATGTAAGATTCTGTACGAGGCTCCGCCCACAAGCCAAGATCACCAACGCTCCCACACGACAATTCTCCATAAATATACAAAAACATGAAACAAACCACAGGAACTTGACAAACCCTGGTGCAGATTGTGTTGTGATAGCGCTCTGAAGGGGGAGAGACTTAGTGCGGAGAGCAAAAGGGAGCATGGAAAACTGATGTGAAACTTATAAAATGTGTTAATATGTTGTTTTGGTCATAATAACATTTTTAAAAGAGTAAAATGCAGTGTTGTAGTACTCAAGACCGATCTTTGGTCTTGAGACTGGTTTTTTTGCGGTCTCGGTCTCAGTCTAGTCTCAATCTCAAGGTCTGACACTCGACAAGTGATAAAATGAGATAAATTCATAAAATCATTGATACATTTGTGCCAAAATAACTGTAAAATACAAATAAATGTCAAAAATGATAAAGATGGTCTCAATTTTCGTCTCGACGGGACGTGGTTTTGGTCTCGTCTCTTGCCTTTGAAAATTTCGGTCTCGACTCTCAGAGGTCTTGGTCTTATCTCTCGGTCTCGGCCTTTAAAAAGTCTCGGTCTTGTCTCGGTCTCAACCTTTAAAAGTTTTAGTCTCGACCCTCAGAGGTCTTGGCCTTGTCTCGGTCTTTAAAAGTCTTAGTCTTCTCTTGGTCCCGACCCTCAGAGGTCTTGGCCTTGTTTTTGGTCTCGGCCTTGTCTCAGTCTCGACCTTTAAAAGTCTCGGTCTCGGCCCTCAGAGGTCTTGGTTTCGGCCTTTAAAAAAGTCTCGGTCTTGTCTCAGTCTCGACCCTTAGAGTCTTGGTCTTGTCTCGGTCTCGTCCTTTAAAAAGTCTCAGTCTTGACCCTGAGAGGTCTTGGCCTTGTTTTGGTCTTGGCCTTGTCTCGGTTTCGGCCTTTAAAAGTCTTAGTCTTGTCTTGGCCTCTCGACCTTTAAAAGTCTCGGTTTTGTCTTGGTCTCGGCCTATAAAAGTCTCGGTCTCGACCTTTAAAAGTCTCGGTCTTGTCTCGGTGTGTGAAAGTCTCGGTCTCGGCCTTTAAAAGTCTCGGCCTTGTCTTGGCCTTGTCTCGGACTCAGCCTTTTAAAGTCTCGGTCTTGTCTCGGTCTCGACCTTTAGAAGTCTCGTTCTTGTCTCGACATTTAAAAGTCTCGGCCTCAACCTTGAGAGGTCTTGGCCTTGTCTTGGTCTCGACCTTTAGAAGTCTCGGTCTTGTCTCCGTCTCGGCCTGTAAAAGTCTCGGTCTTTTCTCGACCTCGACCCTCAAAAAGTCTCGGTCTTGTCTCGATCTGTAAAAATCTCGGTCTTGTCTCAGTCTCGACTCTAAGAGGTCTTGGTCTTGTCTCAGTCTCAGAACAGACTGTGGTCTTGGACAGGTCTTGGTCTCGACTACAACACTAGTCTAAATATGTTACAGTTAATACTCCATAAAAGTGTAACAGCTTCTTTAAAAAAACACATTTCTGTAATAAAAAAAGAATCTGATCAGATCTTTCTCCGTTGTGCCCGACCTTATCTCTGCCGCAGAACATTTTTGCGCTGAAGAGGGAACAAAATAAATGCCTGGATAATTCAAACCAGGATCTGCCACAGACCCGTTTGTGAGTCAGACCTGAACCGGGACCTCAGAGTCTGTGCGCACGCTGCCCTCTGCTGGACACAACCGCTCACTGCACTTTTACAATCAGAACAGGGACGGAGAAAAGGCCGCTGACGACTTTAAGTTTCATAAAATATAAATACAGAGTTTATTTACGCTTACGTCACAAAACGGAAGACATTTGGACTCTGTTGGCGATCGTAACTTCGGCAAAATCTGGGAAAACTTCACCTAGACAAGTCATTTTTTCCTTTTATAAATGTATTTGCTTATTAATTTGTGCACCATAATTAGTCTAAATAATAAAAAAAAAGATGTTATTGTAGCGTTCTGTTATGTTTGACTGATGAACAGTTACGGTCAGTGCAGCATTCTTTCTTTTGAGTTTCAATTAAGAACGAAAAACAATAAAATGGGAAAACAGTTTGTTATTTTTCTGTTTTAGTGTCAAACAAAAAAAAAAAATTGACCTCTATTTCCAATATTTGATTTAAAGTTTATTTCAAATGGCACCAATCAAAAAACAGTCTCAGTGCCTATTTTAATTTTGATACTTTGCTCCCTGTTTCTCGTCATGGAGTTCAACATTGACTTTTTACGATGCGAAAGTAAACGCGTCGCATCGTATAAAAGAAGATGACATGTTTGTTAAAAAAAACTGCAGCAATTTTTCTGGTACCCTAAGTCCTTCTAGCAGCAAAACCTCCGGAGCAAATAAACAAGAGAGAAGAAAATATCCAAATTGAAATAGGCACCAAGACTGCTTTTTGATTGGTGAAATTTGAAATAAATCAAATATTGAAAACAGAGGTCAAAATCTGTTTTTTTTTTTCATCACTGTTTTCCCATTTTATTGTTTTTTTTTCCGTTCTTGCCTGTGAGTGACACTGATGTGATTAGCGACACATCCCCCACGGAAAACCAAATGTATGGAAGCAAGAAAAGAGTGGCAAGCAAGAAAAAAAAAGTTATTTGGGCTTTACTGTTTATGTGGCTGATGAAAAAAAAAAATCTAAAATCTAAAATCAAACACTCCAGAGCCAGTATATATATATTTTAGAGTTGGCAAAAATGTGTTGTTTTTAACAGAAAAAGTGTTATTTTAACTATTTGAATGTTAAATAGGGGTTTGATTTGGAGTTATTTGCCAGAATAGATATAGTTGGAGTTAATTCAACTTCCCTCAGTGTTAATTCAATTTCCCTTAGTGTTAATTCAACTTCCCTTAGTGTTAATTCAACTTCCCTTAGTGTTAATTCAACTTCCTTGTTTAATTCAACTTCCTTAGTGTTAATTCAACTTCCCTCAGTGTTAATTCAACTTCCCTTAGTGTTAATTCATTCCCTTAAGTGTTAATTCAATTCCCTTAGTGTTAATTCAATTCCCTTCACTTAGTGTTAATTCAACTTCCCTTAGTGTTAATTCAACTTCCCTTAGTGTTAATTCAATTTCCTCAGTGTTATTCAACTTCCCTTAGTGTTAATTCAACTTCCCTTAGTGTAATTCAACTTCCCTTAGTGTTAATTAATTCAACTTCCCTTTAGTGTTAATTCAACTTCCCTCAGTGTTAATTCAACTTCCCTTTAGTGTTTTCAATTCAGTGTTACTTCCCTAGTGTTAATTCAACTTCCCTTAGTGTTAATTCAATTTCCCTTAGTGTTAATTCAACTTCCCTCAGTGTTAATTCAACTTCCCTTAGTGTTAATTCAATTTTTTTTTTTTTTTTTTTTTTTTTTTTTTTTTTTTTTTTTTTTTTTTTTGTTAATTCAACTTCCCTCAGTGTTAATTCAACTTCCCTTAGTGTTTTCAATTTCAACTTCCTTAGTGTTAATTCACTTCCCTTAGTGTTAATTCAACTTCCTTAGTGTTAATTCAACTTCCCTCAGTGTTAATTCAACTTCCCTTAGTGTTAATTCAACTTCCTCTAATGTTAATTTGGCTCCTCCCACCACCACTTCAAACTTCTGCGATAGAAATGACCAGTTTGAACCAGTTTTGTTCATAATTTCATTTTAAATGAACTAAAATAAAGTGTAAAAATAACTGAACCAGGACTGAACCGTTTTCAGTCCTGGTCTCAGTCCTGGTCTCAGTCCTGGTCTCAGTTCTGGTCTCAGTTCGGGTCTGATCCCAGCCTCAGTCCCAGCCTCAATCCTCGTCTGGTCCCTGTCTCAGTCCTGGTCCTGTTCCTGATATCATTCGTGGTATCAGTCCTGGTCTGGTCTGGGACTCAGCCCTGGTCTGGTCCCAGTCTTAAGTCCTGATCTCAGTCCAGGCCTGGTTCCGGTCTGGTCCCGGACCTGGTTCAGTCCATTATCCGTTTTTTTTCCCCATTTTTCATTTGAACACAAAATCGAAAACTGAAAAAAACAAAATCATTATCCGTTTTTTAAAAAATGGTTTTCGAGACAAATAATAAAGAAAATAGTTGTTTTTTTCCATTTTCTTATTTTTGGTTTTATTTTGAAAAACAAATGAACGAATGATACATGGATTTTTCTGCTATAAACACCCATGTAGAACACCCCCAGAGCGAGGTCACTGCATTTTATCATTTAAAAGTGTCCAAAAATCACTTAAAGGTTGTATGGAGGATTTTTTTTTTGTTGTTGTTTCAAATTGTCGATGAAAGTTCAAAATAGAATTATAGAGAGGCAGCAGTCTTGTAATTATGATGACCAAAACAAAAAAAGAATGAAAATCCATCAACTGTGGACGTGGTGGGGGCAGATAAACATCAGCCAATAGAAAACAAGGCCACCTCTTTAACTATTGGCTGTTGGGTTGTCAATCAAACTCCCTACGTTTCTTGCATCACTGATTTGCCGGCGAGCTGGGATTACGTGGTTTACGTTCGCCTCTCACGCACTGATGCCGTTTACTCAACCAAAACAGCGTCTTTTTCGAACTGTAGCTTCCTCGCAGTTTGCACGAAGTTTGTTTTAACGGCAGAGAAGACTTCACGACCAGTTCGCCGCAAAAGAAAGTTTGTTTTTGTTTTTGTTTTTGACGTCGCTGAAAGAAGAAGAGAAGGGGAAGAGGAGCGAAGCGCGACATTTGAAAAAGGACAAACAGTCGCTGCATTTCTCTTTCCTTGGAAAATCTTCTATACAACCTTTAATCTGAGCTGTATGTTTCGTTTATTTCTGTTCCAGGATTTGCCCGCTGCGTCTGGGATGAAGAGGCCGGACTCACGACTGCTGTACACTTCCTGTTTACGCTCTCATCGCCGTAGAAACGCCGCATCCCTAAAAAGGCCTCTGATCGGACGAACATTTTGCGAACGACCGGCGGGACTCTTCACTTGACGATCGGCTCATATTAAACTTCACCAAACGGCTTCTGCTGCAGCTCTGTACAACTCACATTTAATCCCGTTTTTCACTTTAATTCTGTTGTTTTTAAACTGCATTTCTAGACGTACTAACAAGTTTTTTACAAAGAGATATTTTCCTTATGGCGAGATAAATATTTTTAAATCGAAATGACAATAAACGATCTGATAATGTTGGTAAATAAATGAGTAAATAAATTAATAGTAGCACAAAAAAATATAATAATAATAAAATAAAATAATAATAATAAATCACAACTGAAAAACAATATTCCAGAATTTTTTTGTTTTACTTTTTGCATCTAGAATATTGTTAATGTTCGCTATTTTTACGGAAATTTATGAAGGCTTATTGAACAATTTCGTGATATAGATAAAAAATATAAAATAAAAATAATACAAAAAAATACATTGAAAATAATATAAATATTGAAAAAAAAAGTTATATTTTTTATTATTATTTTATTGTTTTAAAAATGCATTCCGGACCATTTTGTGTGAAAGCCAAATATCTGTTCTTTTTTTTTTTTTTTTTTTTTTTTTTAAATTGCGCTGTGGACAAGTGTTATAAAAAAATAAACAAGAATATATTTTTCTGCTTTATTTTCCTTCTTTAGATTTTTTGGAAATGTTTTATTTTTTTTTTGTGTCGATAAAGTGACTCTGTGGTAAAGGTGAATGTGTTTTCTGTGACACTGGCTTGTGCTTTGCTCAAAGGCGGATTTGAACCCACACAAACTGCACCCGTTTTAATGTTTCATGCTGTTTTTGTGTTTTTGGACTTGAAAGAAATAAACCTGACATTACACAAACTCGTATGAGGCCAGCAGTTTGACTCTTTGATCATGAAAGAGAATTACAAATAAAGTGAAGCGTGCAGTGACGACTTCTGACCAGCAGGCGGCACTGTGACTCTAGTTTCAAAATTCAAAACTCTCAAGACTCAAGACTTTTTTTTTTTTTTTTTTTAAAGTAGAAAGTTTACGAGTTACTTTAAATAATAATCTAACAGTGTTGGGATGATTACTTCTAAAATGTAATCCCCTACAGATTACAGATTACATACACCAAAATGTAGTTTTTAACGTAATCCATTAAATTACTTAAAGTGAGTAATGTAATCTGATTACTTTGGATTACTTGATTTGCTGTAGAGAAGCAAAGACCAGGATCTTCACATAAGATGTTTTGTCTGATAAAAGAACATGAAAAGTCCAGACTTTACTGAACCAAATTAAAAAATATTATTTGATAGAAGAAGAGACACGTCCACACAGCAGGATTTAGTCCTGTTCAATCCTGGTTTAGTCCTGGTTTAGACCTGGTTTAGTCCTGGTTTGGGTCTAGTTTAGCTCTAGTTTAGACCTGGTTTTAGTCCTGCTTTAGTCCTTGTTTAGACCTGGTTTGGATCTAGTTTAGTCCTGTTTTAGTCCTGTTTTAGTCCTGGTTTAGACCTGGTTTTAGACCTGGTTTTAGACCTGGTTTTAGACCTGGTTTTAGACCTGGTTTAGACCTAGTTTAGATCTAATTTAGACCTGGTTTTAGTCCTGGTTTAGTCCTGGTTTTAGACCTGGTTTAGAGTACCTGGTTTTAGTCCTAGTTTAGTCCTGTTTAGTCCTGGTTTAGTCTGTTTTAGTCTGGTTTTAGTCCTGGTTTAGACCTGGTTTTAGACCTGGACCTGGTTTAGACCTGGTTTGGATCTAGTTTTAGATCTAGTTTAGACCTGGTTTTAGTCCTGCTTTAGTCCTTGTTTAGACCTGGTTTGGATCTAGTTTAGTCCTGTTTTAGTCCTGTTTTAGTCCTGGTTTAGATGTGGTTTGAGACCTGGTTTAGACCTTGTAATCCATTTATTTCAACAAAGTAACTGTAATCCAATTACCACTCACTGAAACAGTAACTGTAACTGAATACAGTAACTGTATTCGGTTACAGTACAGTTACAGTAATCTAATAATAAAACAAGAGTATTACTGCGACACTTTTACATTTCACAACACACTGGAAGAAGTTTGAAAACAAAATTACATTTAAAATACACATTTACATCTTGAAAACAAAGTCCAAGTTTCATAAAACACATTTACAAATGAACAAACAAATTTACAAAACACTAATACACTAGTGTTCGATGTGTTTCGGGGGTTTGTATTTGTGTTTTTGCCACGTGCAAATTTATCTCGGCGCTTGTACAAATGTTTCGTGCTTTGTAAATCTGTTTTCAAGATGTAAACGTGTATTTTAAATGTAATTTTGTTTTCAGAGTTGTTCATGTGTGTTGTGGAATGTGTGGAAGTGTTTTGCACTTGCTGGACACCGTACAAAAGCATAAAAATAGCAAACAGAAGGCAAACAAATCAGACAATGACGCAAACAATTCAGTTAATTATAAGTAATATAAAAAAAGAATAAAAAGAAATAGAATAAAAAGAAATCAAATCAAGCTAAAACCAGTTAAAGGAAGGCCAACTGCGAAAAATGAGTCTTAATAAGTGATTTAAAGAGATGATCCTGATGGTGCGAGTCGTTTCTCCTCAGGCAGGTCGTTCCAAAGCCGAGGAGCCTGGACTCAAAATCCTGGACTCCATCACCTTCATCTAGAGACTGGACTTTGGAACAGACACATGGACCTGCCTGAGGATCTGCGGCTGCAGGAGGCTCGTACGGGCTTTAAAGTTCTGAACTGTAACTTGGTGCAGCAGTGATCGAATCTGACACAAGCCCGATAAACAGTGATAACTCTTGGTTCTCACTTACATATCCTTAACAAACTGGTTTGAATATTTGCTTCATATAGTTTTCTACCATATGGTACAAGATTAGGTTGAAAAACCTCTGACTTTTTGACTCATGAGATTTTTTATTAAGAAAGGTCATGGTAACGGAGGGAAAAGTAACGGAGGGAAAATTGTGCAAACAAGTAGAAGGTGCAGGATTTTACATAATTTGTCACTTTTTTCTTCTGAATACTTTAATATTACTTCAAAATGAAAGGAAACTATTTCTATAAAATATGTCAGTCCTTCCAAGCAAATTTTTATCATTTCAAATACTTTTTAAAAAATTTTTTAAATCATGTACCTTCATCAACAGTTCAAAGATGGAATAACACAAGATATGATGAAATACATCCATTTATTTACATGATTTGCAGGTCTTTGAAATTTGGGAAATAATTTTTGTTCTGTTTAAAACGTATGTAACTTTAGAACCAAAAATGGTACAGAAAAAAGGTCAACAGTTTCATAAACTAGTATCTGTTCAATACATTTTTATATCAGATGTTAACTTGAATTTTTGGCCTTGATGTTTACTTCTGCTTGACCGGGGCCATATTCAAGTGTCCTGGGTCGCATTTGAAAAAATCGGATCTGTGTCGTTCAGACTGTCATGAAAAGATCAGATACAGGTCACACAGGGACCAAAAAATCGTATTTGGGTCACTTCCGGCTGCAGTCTGAACGTAGTCTCAGTTTCTGCAAATGAGCCATGTGGTTTTAAGTTTCGTTTCTGTAAAAAGTAAACAAACATGCTGAAAGCTGTGTGGACAGGGAAGGCTTGCGGACACAGGAAACACCCAAACCATGAAAAAAAAGTGCGACTTATAGTTCGAAAAATACGGTAACGAAATTTGAGTTATTTAGCGCAATGGTATAATTCCGAAATCCCTTGGCGAGCTGCTAGTTTGGTCTTAAAAAACTTTCCGTGGAATCATTCAAGTGACGCGCCATCTCCGCAAAGTTACACAGTGTTGCTTTAAAGGTTGTATAGAGGATTTTTTAAGGGAAGAGAACAGTCCTTTTTCAAATGTTGTCCGTGTGTGACACCACCTTCCTCCTCCACAGCTCCTTCAGTAAAAACACCTCCTCCTCCCACCTCTTTACTCTAGAAATCACTCTTGTTTACAGCCGGTGCGCGTTCAAGAATTCCCGTTGAAGTGACCTGTCTAGAAATAAAATCCTTCGTCCGCTTCAGTCGCGCCGTCGCTGTAAGAAATCTCCAAGTCTCACCTCAGTTTTGTTTTGCTCCTTTTTCCCTTCTCTTCACGACTTCAAAAACCGGCTTTATTTTGCGGCGAACTGGTCGTGGATTCTCGTCCGCCGTCGCAACAAACTTTGTGCGAACTGCGAGGACGCTACAGATTAAAAAAGCCTCGAAGAACCGCCGCATAAACCACGTAATCCCCGCGCGCTGGCGAGTCAGCTACACTAGAAACGTAGGGAGTTTGATTGACGACCTAACAGCCAATAGAAAATGAGGGAGCCTCGTTTTGTATTGGCTGATGTTTATCTGGCCTCATTATGTCCACGGTTGATAGATTTTCATTCTTTTTTTTTTTGGTCATCATAATTACAAAACTGATGCATCTCTGTAATGGTATTTTAAACTTTTACTGACAATTTGACACACAAAAAAAAATCCTCCATACAACCTTTAAGTGCAGGTAAGTTGAGTAAATGCGACTTCTCACACACAAACCCGTTACTCTTATAGCCTAAAACCGTAATGATTCCAGCGTTTTTTTTTGTTTTTTTTTTAAAAGTCGTATTTCTTGTGCAAATGTGGAACCAATCGCGTTGAGCCTCTTCCTCTGTCCGCGACCCGGAGTCCATCACCCGGACAAAAGACGAGCGCGCGGGACAGAAGGGGGAGCGGGCGATCAAAGCCTGGACCTGTCTGAGCGAAGAAAAGCAGAGGGAAGAGAGGAGAGGAGCGGGAGGAGCGAGGGATGAGCAGATAAAAGCGGGAGGAGAGCACCGGAGCGTTCAGGATCACGATCAGCCTCCGTAAAACACAGCGCTCTGCACACACCGGACTTCATTTCCTCTGCTGTGACAAAGAGGGATTTACGGCTCACAAAGTCCGCTCCGGGGGCTTTCGGTGCGACTGTGTGTGATCTGCATAATCTCGTGTGAGTGCGAGGAGTGCGCTGGCGGTTTGCGAAGCGGATCTGAGCCCCGGGTCGGACCGGGACTGGGTGGTGCTGCGCGTCATGTAATATGTAAAACGTCCCGGTGCTCGTGTGTTACATAAGCAAGAGTGAAAATAAAACCAATATTGCGCTGTCGAAATGTAAACTGTTTTGACGCTTAATGCTCAATTCAGATTTTTTTTTGCGAGGTCGTTCACGTTTCCGATTAAACGAGACTTGTGCGTGATCTCCAGTGTGAACTTTAAACTCCCTAAAAGTGTCCCAACATGAGCACTGGAGGACACGACAAGTGCATACTCGGTGTTTACAGAAGTCGCCTAAACGCTGGGCTTGTCTCACAAAATCCGGTCCAGTTCTTGGTAAAATGGGCAGGTCACACGTTCACGGCAGCTTTGCTTGTCTGAGTCTTTAGCCTCCTTGTGTTTGACTCGCAGGATCTTTATTTCTCGTTGATGTTGGAGTCAGGATCGCCTCTAGTGCTCGGACATTTATTTGGCAATCATTTCAAAAAACGCCTAATTCCGATAAGAACCCTCCTGTCGTTCAGACTGTCTTTAAAAGATGGTGAAAAAATCTGATTTGGGTCACCTCAGGTTTCACCTCAGTTCGAACGTAGACTTAGGCTGCGTTCAGACTGCAGCCTGAAGTGACCCAAATCCGTTTTTTTGGCCCCTATGTTCCTGTATTTGATCTTTTAATGTCAGTCTGAACCACACAGATCCGATTTTTCAAATGTGACCCAGGACACTTGGATATGTGCTCCTGAAACTGATACATATCTGATCTTTTGACATGTGACTTCAGTCTGAACGGTCAAAGTGCATTCATCCACCTACACGTTATCAACAAGACACAAACGTCACTATTCTGCACTGAAGTAGGAGAAAA